CGATGCCCCCTCTAGTGTTGTTTATAATTTCTATGTATTGGACGTTAACCCAGTCCCTTTCTATTGTTTTTGTTTGCGCGGTCGAACACGAAGTTAACAAGAGTGTGCCGAAATTTCGTGTTTTGACTTCGATTATCTGAGAAAAGTGGTATTAAAACTGTTTACGACCTTCAGAGCCTTGGCTTCACTTTTCCCACAGGGCGAATGACTTAAGTTCTTGCTCCAAATATATATAGAGAGAGAGAGCTCAATGGTTGTACGAAGCCTGCGACACCTGATTTTCAGATCCCCCTAATAGTGACCCCCCTGCTAGTGGACTTTTTTGGCATCTGTAAATTTACCTTCAGATCCCTGATGCATGTTATCTAAATTAGTTTTATGCAGGGCTCGAAATAACGTTTCCAATGTTCCCGATCATGGTGATCAGCAGTCATGATTTTCTGCTGATCAAATGAAAATCTGGCCGATCAGTATAGGATACGTTCTGTTTATATGTTCTGTGATAATGCCGTAGTATTGCATGGTGTTCGTTAACGACATTAACCATGTTTTTGAAACAATGGTTCTTGCCGATCAAGATGATCGGCAACCCTGCTTCTCTGCTGATCAAAAGCAATTTCCTGACGATCGTTGATAGGCCGTTATTTCATGCCCTGGTTTTATGTTATATACACAGTGCACGTCTAAATTTTTTCTGTTAAAAATATAGCATGACAATCAATTTGTTAGTGTCGCACATTTACAGCCTCCGAGTGTCGTCGATTTACTTGATTATTCACAGAAAAAGTTTCAATGTTATCTTGCGGCCCCGGAAAGTAAAATGTTTTTTCCACCCGTGAAATTCTCGGCCCTTGAAGAGTAAAATCTTCATTGGCGTTAAACGGAGTAAAGTAATGATTTAATACCCACATTTTACGTCTTTCAGTTTGCTTATATTGTGCGTATATCATTTCAAAATTGTTTTTTCCTATTCCAGGTTATTATTCTTCCTTTATCAACGCAACAGGCGACAGACGTCCTCATTATTATGCAGAATATGCAAATCTCACGTCTCCAGGTCTCCCGCCAAGACCTGGCAACACGTCCGCACGTTCTGATGGTCAACCATCTGTCGACTATTCTGAATATGCAGGTTAGGAGAGCAATTGACCATTTGCGTAATAGACTAAATTTTGAACTAAACAAGTCTAGACAAAAATTTCAGCTTGAAGGAGCATCAAATCACAGCTTGAAGGAGCATCACAAAATTAGTAATATTCCAAAGTTTCGTTGCAAAATGTTGTAAAATGCAACAAAGTTCGCAAGTACATTTCAATGTTTGAACTTCGTTTGTAAACAAATGTTCAAGCTCAATAATAATAACCAATTCAATGAAATACAAACCTTCTTGGTAACCCACTGGACAAAGAACTTTCCATTGAAATTGTTAATTTCAACTTGAACTATGAACATTTGTTCACAATAGTTCAAACACTGAAATGTACTTGAGAACGTTGTTGCGAAGTTCACGCCCAAATTTTTGAACTTGGAAACGTAATTGGTAAGTTTGCAACGAACTTGCTTGGGAACCGCGCGTTGAAAAGTGACTTGAAATCGACAACAACGGACCCCACAATGGATATAAAACAAATAATAAATATTAAACTTTAATATGATCATGATGTTGGAAAACTTTTTTCTTCACTAGGAGTGCAAGTAAACGGATACTCGCCACAAAATTTCGGGGCTCCTCCATCTCCTTTATCAAGATTCGCACCCACCACCAGTCCGGGTCCCATGGGCCCTGATCTCGCTAGTTATATCTCGTCAGCAGCAGATAACGCCCTCGGATACTCCGCGTCAAGCCCGCAGGCGACCACGTTTGGCCATCAAATGGCTGTAAGTGCTTGGTGTGTTTTATCGTTAGAACAACAAGATTGAAGATCTGGTCACAAAATAGGATAATTACATTGTTTTACATAACCTATGAGTTCTAAACTGGTCTTCCTGGAGGTCCAGTAAGGGTCATCTCTTATTGATCCAGTGTTACTACAGGAGGAAACCTAAACTAAACTAACCTTATTTATACTGGATAGCTCTATCAGTTCTAAACTGTTCTTCCTAGAGGTCCAGTAAGGATCATCTCTTATTGATCAAGTGTTACCACAGGAGGAAACCTAAACTAAACTAACTTTATTTATACTGGATAGCTTTATCAGTTCTAAACTACTTTCGGTGGACTGCCAGCAAACGTTGTCCCTTTCTGGCCCAGAAGGAAACCGGAATTTCTGAAGAAAATCGATGTTTGGTAGAGAATGAGACGAAGTTATAATCAGACATATTGCAGGAGTAGAGATGAAACTACTGACCACCCAGCCGTCAAAAGACTTCCCCCCAAAAACTTTGTATTCAAATCATAAGTATAGTGATCGATGATAAAAATGTACCCAAGTATGAATCCTGTAGTGCGCCATGTTTCATCGGTTGGCAATACGAAATATAATGATTAAAATCTATTTTCCTAGATATCTCTTAGACAATAAAAGATATAAAAATGAATGGTAGGTCAGCATATTTAATTAAACGAATCATTAAAAATATTTGTTTATTGACTTTAAATGTTTAATGACGCTTCACTTCTCCTTACAGAATGGATAAAATGATGAGATATTCCTTGAGAAAGTAATATTTGGAAAATACTATGGGAAGGTTTGATAAATATGTGATACAAATTTACTGTTTGGTGTACATATAGGCTGTTTTCTTTTTACCAGTTTCAACGCGCTTTTTTGCCAATTTAATTTAAGTTTGGCAAAATTTAGCAAATCTAATTTTGCTTTAATAGAGCTCTCTGGGTATTTACCGTAATATGCGAGCGAATTTTGCAAATGCGAATGTCGGAAACGCGGACACTGCTACTGCGGATACAGGATATGCGGATTCTGATTTTGCGGGTGTCCCTAATTCCTATATGTACACCAAAATTGAAACAAGGACAGTATATTTGAAAGAATTTAAGGCACTTAAGTGTCAAGATATTGTTTGATATTTTTTGTTTGTATTTTACGAGAGTTGTCTCTTTAATATTATTTAATTTTTCATGACCAACACACTCGCGGAAAAACACGTGAGAGTGGTCACGTGGTTGATTATCTTAGTAACACGAAATTAGTAGCCACGTGACCCGTGTAAAATTGGCAAAAGCTCTCGAATAATTGGTTCGAACTCGATTGCGTATCCAATAGAACGATTTGTAATTCAAAGCGTGGTTCCTATGTTTTTTGTGAATATTCCAAATTACGTTTCTATATTTGGAATATTAGGTGTGGAATTTGCAAAGTGGAAACTTGCGAAGTTGGCTTTGCAATTCCTGGCCCAATATTCCAAATTTAGAAACGTAATTGGGAATCTTCACAATAAACTTGGGAATCGCGCGTTGAAAAGAGACCTGGAATCGAAAATAAATCGTGAAATATTTTAATACAAAATTCATTGATGGCGTTTTTGGATACACGGTTGTACAGGACTTCACAAAGTATATTATCGTGAAACATAAAGTATTCTGTATATTATGTTTGTTTGGTCAAAAGATTGTAAATTTTGAAAAAAAAATATTGCGCTTTCCAAAAAATTAGGAACAGGGTGTTTATAAATTAGCAGCCTGGGTTAGAACATCAGAATATGAAGCTCACAGAATTCGATGCACAATATTTTGACATGAAATGTCATTGTAGGATTTTATTGTAATATTTTATTGCTATTATGTGTTAGTCTTGTCTATATATGTACATGCAGTTTTAAAAAACTCTCTTGTAGGGAATTAGGTTTTAGAAGTAGATTTTTGGCTGTGAAATTCAGAAAGGAGATTTTTAGGGCTTAAACCTTACTGCCATACAATCAGGATCCAGTGATCAACATGTTCCATTATTTCTTCATTGACTTATATTCGTTAAAACATTATGCATTTTGACAAGGCATTTCAATGCTATATAGCTAAAATAATTGTTAATAAGCCTTTCTGAATTTTTCAGCTGGGATTAAATTTATGTGTTTTTGTATCGGTACCACAGTGTACAACAACTGACTTGTTAAATATAGGCCACGTGTACACTATACCGAATAGTTTCTCGTAGCGACGCGAAACTGAGCACCTATCCGATACGGAATGTACAACTTTCAGAAGCTGAACGAAACAACATCTCTCCGTTGCAATAATTCTGAAAATAGCGTTCCTAAAAGGTACGGCCGAGGTGTTTTTTCACGTCGCTACGGAAACTATTCGGTGCAAGTGTAAATGTAGCCATAGTGGATCGAGATATGGTCCGATAACTCGGAAAAATTCAAAGCGTCTGAAATGAACTACGATTTTATGTGTTGAGACGAATAGACCCATTGCACTGACGTCACAATTCCATAGAGTGTCCTCCAGATGCTCCCTAACAATATCTGTTCGGGTACAACAACCGCATACAGCGCAATTTTTAATACAAAATTATTATAAAGTTTTACAAAATTTGCTTTGTTTACAAAAGTATATATTATGCATAGATTGCTAATTTGTCCTCCAGATGCATCGTCACCGGCGCTGTGACGTCATGTGCAATGGGTCTATTCACCGGGCACAAATCTCGTGAAATTTTGCTTATCAATATTTCAACATTACGATTGCTTCATTATGACAAAAATACATTGTCTTTAACGTGCACAAGTTTACATATAAACAAGTTTAAACACGAACAAAAAGATATAGAACAAATCTTTTAACGGAACGAGTTTGCAGATCATATCTTGATTATCTATGGGTAAATGTATCATGTAATGTCACAGCACCTTGAGGAAATAAATAGCTAAAATGATAGTGATATGTATAGGAGGGTATGGGTTATGTAGCTGAATTAGAGAAAAATGGTGTGCAATAGATTGTCTACTTGAAATAAGGTTTCCAAAAACATAGACAAATTCTATTTAGTGGAATGACCCTTTGAATAACACTAACATAGCAATATAGTATACTATCACGAGTCAGTGATCGAAATCTTCCATTGTCTTTTCGTAGTTTTGGAAATCCCATATCATCCAGCCACTCGGACTTATTTCAGCATTTCTGTAAAGGTGTCATCGCCATTCGGCTGGCGGAAACCATATTCCAATTATACAATCTATTGTTCATCTTTATTGTATAAATGTCTGTTTAGGGGAATATTATATTGGAAAATATTACTAACATAATACAGCATTTTCACTGGCCAATTCCGGCCAGTTTTTTTTAGCCACTATAATCTATGTTTTGGGTACGCAGTTCTGGCCGAGAGCCAAGCTGTTGGCAAAACGGGTTGCAGCATTTGAAAAGTTTGCCCTTTGCCCAACCAATTCACATTTTCGGCTAACTCGCATGCCTGGTTACCACAGTTAGATGATGTAAGGGACTGGTCATAAAGTAACTGCTTGGATGGGCCGGAGGAAATAAGGATGGGCCATGGAATTATTTTCATCAGTTTGGGTGGGCCATCAATTTGGTTATTTTTTTTGTGCAAATGAATGGGCCATGAAACACATATAGTCATGTTTTCACTCAATACATACTACAACTATAATAGTTTTGTTTGTGGAAACACCACGTAAATTTATTACTGCAGTAATAAATTTACGTGGTGTTTCCACAAACAAAACTATTATATATTTTATCGCCATACAATCATACAAAGAACTTACGTACTACAACTACTACACAACATTCCTATTAAAAGAATCAACATTCAGTATAAAATAATATATTTAAAGTGAATTCAAAATGAAATGAAAACATAATCCTGTTATTGTTATTGTTAATAGTTCAGTAATAGCATTAATATTTTGTAAGTCACATCTACAGGCATTTATTTTTAAATATCACCCTTCCTCAGATTCTGTTGTAGTGTACATTGTTTTCCCCACAACTGTTGTTTTTCGCTTTCTTTTGACTTGTTACTTGTTTTTGCTTCTCCAATGAAGTTACAATTTCATTTACTTGTTCTACAATTTCCAGAGGTGCCGGAACTGGGGGGGGGGGCAGGAGGGGCAGCCGCCCCCGTTGCCCTTTACCAGGAGGGGCAAAGGGGGCAAAGGTACCCTTTCAATTTAAAGGTTTGCCTTGGCGAAATAGCGAATTGTCAGAAATGTTAGTGCTTCAGAAAATGCAAGAAATGCAGTCATCGAGCTTCAAGAATAGCAGTTATAGCACAATCGCCTGGCGGAGAACCCCCTCACACCCCTATCATCCAATAAATAGAAAACATGATTAGGGGAAGTTCAACTCCCAATGTTTTGTAAACATCTCTTAGTATATATCAATTCAAAAGTGCCCTTTCACGAAAATCTGCCCCCCTTGCCTTCACATCGTTCCGGCGTCCCTGACAATTTCATTTACTTGTCCTAGTGACTTAGTGCATGGTTTGATCAAAGTGACTGCTATACTGCACATATTCATGTATGGCAGGATGGGTCGTGAAATTTTCCCAATGACCTACGATGGGCTTTGAAATTTTTTTCCAGGTTCTCAGGATGGGCCACCGGGTTTTTTTTTTGGAAAACCTATTTTTCCCTCCGGCCCACCCTAGCAGTTACTTTATGACCGGTCCCTAAGCATAGAATGGAACAAAGGTAACCAAGCATTTAAATTATATATGTGAGTGAATTGGATGGGATAACTCACATGCCTAGTTACCACTGTTCTGATAATGTAAGCATAGAATAAGAATGGAACAAATGGAGCCAAGCATTTAAATTATATATGTGAGTGAATTGAGTTGCAACAGGCATGTATACGTGGATTAGGTCTCTTCATTTTACCGTTTTGCCAAGAGTTTTGGCGCAAACACTCGGTTTTAAAGTGGCTCTCCATCCGTAAAACATCAAAGATGTGAATTCAGACGCAACAGAAAAATTTTATCACTATTAGTTTCAAAGGCTCGCGCTTCATTTCTGATTTTATAGCAATATTTAAAATAAGTTATATGTAATGTTAACGTAAGAATTGTCTTCATTTACTATGTAAATTAAAGAATTTTTTGTGTAAATTTATTATATATTTGCATTTTGCTGGACTTTTGTGGCCCCTTTTGTGTGTTTTTGAGTATGTGGTTTTGATTCTCGCTACCATGTCTCTTGGTAAATTTTGGTTATTAATTAAAGTGATATTAGCCAACTTGAACCGGAAATGTTCACACTCGGAGGATCAAATGCTGGGATCAAGCAAATACACGCTTCCGGAAAGTACGTCACCTTGGCTATAGAGCCTCGTTTTCGTGATTGAGACGTGGACTTGTCTTCAACTGATGTCAGATTCACGAAAACGAGGCTCTATAGCTAAAATGACGTACTTTCCGGAAGGGTGTATTGCAGTGAACCATGGGCAGTCCAGCAAGTATACTGTTATGCCAACTCTCATAATAAGCGCACTGGCTAGGACCATGTATCCTTGGCAGCGGTTATGTCTTTATTCTGTGCCCCAAACCTAGGGCACAGCAGGCGGCACTTGATTTGCAGGTTAATGGACTTGAAAAAAGCGCTGAAATATAAATAGAGGGGTCTGGGCTGTTGTCCAGTCGCATGGTTGGGTAATTGTATTGTATAAATACAATGACGTAACCATGCGACTGGACAATCTGCATACATAATGTACACAATAAATTGCTCGATAGCTCTGATCACAGTTAATCTTGCTTCCAGACAATGTGGTTCCAATAAATATTTAATACCAGTATATAGAGTTTTGAAATTTATTTTGCTCTGATTCAGTGGTTCTGACAACCTGATACTCAGGGTTTTCACTTCCGCTATCCCCCCAAACCGCTAATAGCGGAAGTGAAAACCCTGAGTGTCAGGTTGTGGTTCTGATCTCTCAATTCTGTAACCAACGCAATAGAGCCTGTGAGCAGGCTACCAACGCAACTACGACGTAATAATTTCAAAACAAGATGACGTAATTTGTATTGCACTATCAAAACTCCACCCCCTCTGCTCCACTCCATTCCCATCCTACTTATGCATTCCATGTCGCAATTATCGAAGTTATAAATGTACATATAAATGCCCACGACTTCCTGTTTTTGCAAGCATTTTCGTCTTGCAGGTTTGCTGTAAAACGCGAAGCTTTTTCCCCAACTTCCTTGGCCAAGTTAAACTCAAAGGTTTGTCCTCTTAAATCTTTTATTTTTAATTCAAGCAAGCGAACTGTATTTTGTAACAAATACCTTGCTACAGCAAAAGTTAATAATTAGTTGCTATGCTATGCTGTCAAAATTCGTGTCATAGGTTGATCAATCTGACGTTTGCAAAAGATTAAAGTGTTTAATACGTGTTTTATATTTGATTTTAAGCTAGTTCGCCAATTGTTTAAATACGATCGTTAGGTAATACACTTTTGTACATAAGTCTGAGTACATTTTGCACTTACGTGTCGTGGCGTCGTCAACAGTTTAATTAAATAGCTGGCGTTTTATTATACCTGCAGAAGTGTTTAAAATTTCGAATCAAATACCCATAGCACTTCTATATAGTAACTGCCCTTTTCCTACGGCATTTAAAAGTACTTGATAGCGAATTTAAGAATTTTTACTAAGCAAAACTGAACAGGAATTCCCCCTGATATGATGTGAATATATTAACAACATGAAATTCATCATTAGCTGGCAAAAATTGTACTTCTTTATATTCATGCAGCAGATATATTGGAAAGATAATTTTTAAGACATCTTTTTCTTTGCTTTATGGTTATTTTATAGGTGATTAGTACTAAAAGGCCCCACCCACATCTGTCAAGAAACAATAGCCAACCACAGTATGATAGTATTACTATACCACCATGAGATGCGTCGTTCACAAACAAACAACTTAACCTTTCAATTTGTTTCCAGCATATTTCATCATGAGTCGCACTCGTCAAAGTCCTCCAGGTGGCAGCGAAGAAGGAAGTATCTTTCGTATCCCGCCATATTACTACCTTCATGTGTTTGACCAAACTACGAATGTCACCAAAGTCGAGCTTGGGCCGAAGACATTCATTCGACAAGACAATGAAAAGGTTTGATTGACAGTGTTGTTTTTGGAGTGCTAAGGAATTATGTTAATTATATTTAACTTTACAATTCCAAGTCTCGCTCATATAAATGCATCTGTAATGTCTTCCATAGGTGGTCTTTGGCCCAGAGAAAATGATCACGATTCCTCCACGGCATTATTGTGTCATTGAGAATCCAGCCGTGAAAGATGATGAGGAAAAACCAGTGTATGATGACAATGGACAGATTAAACTTCTACATGCTGATCAGGTGATTAAAATTTGCAATTATATCTAGTGGTATGGACGTGCACAATTACACATCCTGTACATGCTGACTGACCTTCCACTCGTTTGACTGCATGACTAACCAGCGACGTTGTCACTAAGCCATTAACATTGGGGGGTGTCGTCATGTTTTGACCAACATTTCCTAGGATATTGACCAAGTCGTAAAAATTTTTCCTGAAAATGTTGTCGGCGGGGTGGGGGGGAGGGAGGGGTTTGGGGGTTCACCGCAAACGTAACAAAAGCTTTAAAATTGTTAAAATTGCGAACCATTTCATAACTTTGGGCAACTTCGACCAACTTTTATCCCAAACGTTTACCAAAATTTTCCCAGTTTTACCTTCAATTTTAAGCAAATATCAGTATCATTTTGACAAACTTTGGGCAAATATCACTTCCATTTTGACCAACTTTGACCAACGTTTGAATTATTGTGGGGTGTTACACACACACCCCACACCCTCCTATAGCGACGTCCCTGCAGCTAGCCAATTGACTGTCTGCATGACTGAATAACCAACCAGTGAAATAACTGACCAATTAAGCTACCAACTGTGTAACTCAGACGCACCAATTAGCTGACTGACTGCATGGCCATAACCAACTGAATGACCAACCAATGAACCAACTGACTAGCAGTGGCGTAACTCCCTTGGGCACTCCCTGGCTCAAGCCAGGGGCCCAAATCAATTAGGGGGCCCCTGGGCAAAGATAACAAATTGGTGAAGTTTATGTATTTCAGTAAATTTCAAATATTCTTGACGTAGCTCCCTCCCCTCGCCACTTGTGTAGGACTGGGGGTCCTTTAGCACAAAGTTATGCCAATGCTGAGTAACAATTAACTATCACATGGATGGACTGACCAATTAAATGATTATTGATGTATATTTACTGACTGATACTGGTTGACAGATAGACTGTGCACAATGGCAAATGTTGTCTATGAAATTGCAAGCAGCTTTAACTGTACTAAGTGTTTTTTCAGGAAGTTCGTCTGACACAAGATCCATTTCCCCTGTACCCTGGTGAAGTTGTGAAGGAGAATGTGGCTGCTCTGAAAATTGTGATGGCAAACTCTGCATTGAGGTTGAGAGCTGTCCTGGATATTGAGGACAAGGACGAGAAACGTGTCGCTGGAGACGAGTGGCTTTTTGAAGGACCTGGTAAGAAACTGAGTTGTGAGAGAGATAACAGTCACTGACATCAATTGTCACATCAACCAAAGTTAAAACATAATCAAGACCTAAATATCAGAAATTAATTTAAGCCAGTTTTTAGGGGGTGTCATTGTCACAGCTAATGGTTAGTGCTTATGCAAAGGGTCAATAGTGGGTCGGGGCAAGGGTATGCATTTCCTTTACTCTTTGGCAGTTCCATGCTGCCCATGCCAGTGTAACACCCCCCAAAGAAAAGCCAAGGAAGGGGGCCCAATTTCCCCAGAAGAGGCCCCCAAATGCTGGAATTGCAGAACGTGTTAAATATTAAGGAATATTGTGAAAAATTGAGGTTGAAAAAAAATTTGAAAAATGTATTTTTAACCCCCTTTTATCCAAAAAAGGTTTGGAGAAAGTTTTTTAGGGCCTTTTATTTGCAGGAAAACGTATACCTGCTTTTTGCACATGAATCTCACTATAGTATCCATCTCCCCATTTTATGTAATATCCGTCTCCCCATTTTATGTAATAATTTTGGCTTGTCCAGACATTTGTCCTTCCAAGTAAAATAATTATTTGCAGCCCTGTCTAACCAACTGAGCTGCAGAGTCCAGTTGTCGACAATAAGGGACAACCTTTATTGTTCATCCTAATTTGCCTTCATTCAGGAACCTACATCCCCCGCAAGGAAGTGAAGGTTGAGGAAAATATTCAAGCCACCGTCATTCAGCCTGGGCAAGCGATCAGACTGCGAGCAAGAAAGGAAACTAGGGTAACAATATAAACTTTGATCTGTTGAGTATTAATTGGACCATTCCATTTAGTATTCATTGATTGAGTTTGATATCAGCATGCATGCTTTTGCATTTCTGCGTGCTGCACTACAATCGTGGAAAAAATATCTGTAGACTTTTCAAAAAATACACCCAAATTTGAAAACATATAATGAAAATGTGAGCATTTTTCAATTAAAGCAACTATTTACCTTAAATTCCCCCCTCCCCCCAGAAACAATGTTGGTTCAGGTAAAGTGGATTTGCAACACATATCACCTAAATACCAACATTGTATAAGGGGGGAGGGGGACAAAGTTTGAAAATTTAAGAAAGTTGATGTGTGATGTGTTAGCTTTTGGCCAATCTGGGATAAATGTGCTTTTATAGTACCTCTTTTTTCTTACAGGATCGGGATGGCACGTTGAGAGTTACTGGTGAGGAATGGTTGGTGAAAAAGACTGGTGCCTACTTACCAGGTGCTTATGAAGAAGTTATTGATACAGTTGGTGCCTATGTCCTTAATGATAAGGTACACTAATTTTGTTAATATATACAGCAGACTGCCTTTCCTTACACAAGACAGGTCCATAATATGGACGGACAAGCTTTCGTTTGGTATGGATGCAACTACCTGAACAATATAAGGATAATTTTGACGTTTCGAATGAAGGCCCTACCTAGCTACACTAGCAAAAACAGTTCTCTAATACAGACGCCTCTCTAATATGGACAGTTATGAATTAAAGTTTGTTTTAGCCTAGCGTTTCAACTATTTTTACAACGGGTGAAAAACGCACTATCCAGTGGATAATTATACAACCAACCTCACGTGATGATAGTTTGTGTATATAATATAACTGTTTGCAGTTACACACACGAACACCTACATGCCCTGGAGTCCCAAATATCCCCTCCAGCCTACCTAAGTTGGGGGAACAGGGACACTAACCCACATGCCTACAACACTCGCAAAGTGTACAATGTGAAAAGGGACGTTGCACTTCCCTACTGCTTTAGAAACCAGTAATTCATCTGTGTGGAAAGTGACAGTAATTTCAACAATAATTACGCACCAACAAATCGTAAGATTTTCACGGTTCCCAAATAGCCCCTCCAGCCTACCTAAGTTGGGGGAACAGGGACACTAACCCACATGCCTAGAACACCCACAAAGTGTACAATGTGAAAAGGGACATTGCACTTCCCTACTGCTTTAGAAACCAGCAATTCATCTGTGTGGAAAGTGACAGTAATTTCAACGATAATTACGCACCAACAAATCGTAAGATTTTCACGGTTCCCAAATAGCCCCTCCAGCCTACCTAAGTTGGGGGGAACAGGGACACTAACCCACATGCCTACAACACTCACAAAGTGTACAATGTGAAAAGGGACATTGCACTTCCCTACTGCTTTAGAAACCAGTAATTCATCTGTGTGAAAAGTGGCAGTAATTTTAAGAATAATTACACACTAACAAATCGTAAGCTTTTCACGGTTCCCAAATAGCCCCTCCAGCCTACCTAAGTTGGGGGAACAGGGACACTAACCCACATGCCTACAACATTCACAAAGTGTACAATGTGAAAAGGGACATTGCACTTCCCTACTGCTTTAGAAACCAGTCGGCCAGTAAATAATTCATCTGTGTGAAAAGTAGCAGTAATTTTAACAATAATTACACACTGACAAATCGTAAGATTTTCATAGTTCCAAAATATTCCGTCTAGCCTACCTAAGTTGGGGGATCAGGGACAGTAACCCACATGACTACAACATTCACAAAGTGTACAATGTGAAAAGCTAGGGACATTGCACTTCCCTACTGCTTTAGAAACTATCAAACAAGAACAAGAGTTGCGTGAGAGTTGATGAGAGTAGACTGGATATTATAAACTAGAATGAGAGTTGATGAGAGTTGAGAAGCGAAAGTTTGCATGAGAGTTTCCTCAACTCGCGTTCCCTGAGAACAAGAGTCAAGAGTTGCATGAATATTGATGAGAGTTGACTGGATATTACCGCGCACGTAGCGAAAACTCTCATCAAAATTTGAACCAGCTCAGATTTGATGAAAGTGAATGAGAGTCGATGAGAGTTGGCTGTCAAACGCGAACGAGAGTTGCAAGTCTCATCCTCGTTTGACCAAATTAGCTTTATCCTCCACTGAAGATTTGAAAAATTAAAATAACTACCAGAACAATTATACTGTATGGGATGGCAAGCATCTTGTGGTGTTTATGTACGTTACATTCCTTCTTCAGAAAGCGTTACACATGCGCGCATTGAGGACGTTCACAGACGAAGAGGAAGAAACGAGAAAGAATGGCGAAGAATGGCTCATCACATCCAAAGATACAGAAGCACATATACCTAATGTCTACGAAGAGGTAAGAACAACGCTTATGTAACTTCCGGGATGGTTAACTTCAGGATGGTACGCATCCCAAGGTGGAGGAGGTGCTCAATGAGCACAACCTTGCCAGATTTGGCCGGATGTCTCATTTGAGTTTGGATTCATTCATGCACTGATAATTCACGCGGACTTTAATTTGGAGTGTTGTAGTGTGGTTAGTGCAGCATGCGTATTTCTGCGTCCAACTCACTTTCTATAATATTGCGTTTTCTGGAATTTCCCCTGAGTCTTATGTTTTCCAAGTTGTCTGGTTTCCTGTTCTACTGCATGCCTGAATTCGGACCTCTGGGACGTATAAGACAGAACTGGTAGAGGTACTTTAGCAGTTGGTATGCTTTAATTGTGTGCGAAAAGAAACTACGTACAATGACAATGTACGAGCACGCCCTGGTACGAGTAAGTCCTACTCCTAAGAGAATGGAAATTATGTAGATGACAACCATTGAACTGAATAGAACGTACGCTACATCCAACCAGAAATTTGAAGCCAAACGTGAAGGCCAGTCCAAGTAGAGCGCTCAATCAGTCTATCATGACACAAACACGCGTGATCTGACCTCCAGACAGGAAAAAGATAGGCAGTTTTTCTGAAGGTAGCGTTCCAGTTATATACACGCGTAAAAATTGAGAAAATCAACAACTTGTTGCAAGTTGATATCGACAGGCGTGAACAAGGTTGTGCGGCCCACTATGAACAGTATTGTCAACATGTTGTTACAACATTGTTCAACTGTAACAACTTGGAACAACATGGTTGACAACTTGTTCATAGTTGGCCGCACAACATTGTTCACGCCTGTCGATATCAACTTGCAACAACCTGTGCGTTTTTAGCCGTGTATTCATTTCAATGATCACAACGATGTTTTTCAATATTTCATGTAGGTAATGGGTATTGTTGATATCACGACACTGACTAATCGCCAGTATTGCGTAATCCTCGACCCTGTTGGCGAAGATGGCAAGCCACAACTTGGACAAAAGAAGCTCATTAAGGTATTCACATTTCGATAGCGTAATTTTCGTGCTCGTGTGAGTGTCAATAATTTTCCACCCAAAATGTTGGGTATCAAACAATTACGTCACTGGTGTGTTGTGGCGTCATTTGCAAGGGCTGTTAGTAGAGAGTTTATAGTGCTTGTGATGTTACTCTGAGTGTACCATCACAAGCACCATATTCACCTGGGTACATAACACCAACACAGAAAAAAAAGAGAGTTTATAGTTTATATAAGACCTCTTGATCCGCCAGAACCTTTCACGTTGCTTGAAAGATGTGATAATGCTTAGTTTAACGTGTTGTGTTGAGAATGACAAAACCGTTGAGATTTGAGAATACCCTTGGGACCACAAATTATTCACAGTTTTCGTCTTGCATGACAAATTTCTTTGATGTTTCGAAAGCGCGTCGTCGAGCCGGTCGCGTCGTAGATCTTAAACTCTCTATTTACATGTGTCACAATTTGTTTATTCTAGGGTGAGAGGTCGTTCTTCTTGCACCCCGGAGAGAAGCTTGAGAATGGCATTCAAGATATTTACATCTTGGGAGAAGACGAAGGTCTCATCTTGAAAGCCAATGAAACATTCAAGGATACCTCTGAGGAGGATGAAAAGGTACTTTGATGACTTCTCGGCGGTAGTTGTAGTACACCTCTGTGTCTGCTTCCATTCCTGCAATATGCAGTTATGTCTGATTATAATTTCACCTCAGTCACATGTAAGAAGAATGCTTCTTTCAGACAATTGTGTTTGTGCACACGTAAGAACGCACAAGTTGTTACAAGTCTGCAAACAAGTTGTTACAAAGCTGTTCACATAGCTGTCGACAAGTTGTGTTCGCACTGCTTGTTCCCAGTTGTTGTAACAAGTTTGGAACAAGCTGTTAAAAACTTTGTAACAAGCTTGATCGCATTATCAGACTTGCTACAAAGGTTGTTCTAACAAGTCTGATACAGTCATGATATAACAAGAATGTTACAAGGTTGATCACACAAGGTTGTAACAATATTGTTATATCATGACTGTATCGGACTTGTTGGAACAACCTTGCAATAAGCCTGATAGTATCAACAAGGTTGTTGCAAGTTGTTAACAGCTTGTTCCATACTTGTTGACAACTTGGGACAAGCAGTGCGAACACAACTTGTTGACGGCTTGTTGGCAGACTTTCTACAACATGCGAGATTTTTATGCGTGTACTTATAGCTATGTGATCACCAATGTACATTATTATCCACAGAAAGTCAGTCTGCGTCGCCCAGGTGATAGATGGATGATTAGAGGACCATGTGAATATGTCCCTCCTGTTGAGGTCGAGGTTGTCGCTCAACGTAAGGCAATCCCATTGGACGAAAACGAGGGTATCTATGTGCGGGATATCAAATCAGGCAAAGTTCGGGCAGTGTGCGGGCAAACGTACATGTTGAACCAGGACGAGGAATTATGGGAAAAAATTTTACCCCCAGCAGTTGAGGATCTTCTCAGTCAAGGACGGGATCCTCTTGCCGATAGAGGAACTCGTGGGACATCTGGGGGTAAGTGTTGAAAGAGTGGGAATAACTTTATAGAGTATATTTCATCTTAAATTCAAGCAAACGTTGTCAGGTTTAAGTTCGGATGGTTTAAAATACAAGGAACGCCTTTTCATTTGCGCATTAATACGTCTGATAGATATTATTTCTATGGAGTGACACAACGAAAACTATATTTATGTAATGTCTATAAACCCTTCCGGAAATTACGTCACTTTAGCTATAGAGCCTCGCTTTCGTGCATGTGACAGATTTAGATCGAGGACACGGACGTCAAAGACGACGTGAAAATGACGTCAAAATGGCGTGGCATATCCATACATGGATGGGCACAACACGCCATTTTCACGTCGTCTTTGACGTCCGCGTCCTCGATCTAATTAAATCTGTCAGATAAAGCCCAACGTCGCAATAATGAAAATGAGGCTTTATAGACCCATTGCACTGACGTCACAAATCCTTAGAGTGTCCTCCAGATCACAGAGGAGAGACATACAGAGTTGTAACTAGTGTACCCACTTTTTTGTGCGCATGCTCGGCAAGTTACTAGGGAGAAGACGAAGGTCTCATCTTGAAAGCCAATGAAACATTCAAGGATACCTCTGAGGAGGATGAAAAGGTGCTGATGATGACGACTCACTTTAAACTTGCTGAGCACGCGCAGTTGATCATTTTTTGCCTGGTCGCCTGAAAAAAAGTGGATACATGAAAACGTGAGCTTCCGCAGTGTTTACGACGGTCAGTTACAGCTCTGTATGTCTCTACTCTGTGTTCAGATGCTCCCTAACAATATCTGTTCGGGTGCAACAACCACATACAGCGCAAAATGAACCATTTTAATACAAAATTATTATAAAGTTTTACAAAATTTGCTTTGTTTACAAAAGTTATATTATGCATAGATTGCTAATTTGTCCACCAGATGCATCGTCACCGGCGATGTGACGTTATGTGCAATGGGTCTATAGCCAAGATGACGTACTTTCCGGGAGTGTATATTGTATTACCCAGGGTGTGCTTTGCCAAATTCACCCTGAGCCAGAGGCTCAATGCATACATGATCGAGGGCTAGAAACTAACCCTTGTTAAATGTTATTTCTAGAGAGGATCAAGCGAGATAAGACGAGAGTTATTTCATATCGTGTCCCCCATAATGCATCAGTACAGATTTATGACTACAAAGAAAAGCGTGCAAGGTAAAATATGTGTCGTGTGTCTTCGACTTGAGCAAAGTAAAGGTAGTTTGTCTGATAAATTTAAAACTTCGAATTTTCTATGGTAAGGATGCAACTAGCTGACGTTTCGACATGTCAAGACAGTATAGATTCCCATACCTGTATAGATTTCCATAACCATTGCCAATATAGATGACGCTATTCTAGTTAAGGGTTTAGGGTGAGTTTGTCTGTCAGGGTAGTTTATCGAATGTGGTTACACTAAGACTACAGTATATTGCGTACAACTTTCCATGGCTGCACGTATCCGATACGGAATGTAAAACTTTCAGAAACTGAGCGAAACAATATCTCTCCGTTGCAATAATTCCTCAGAAAATGGAGGAATGAATAGTTCCTAAAAGGCACAAATGGATGTTTTTCACGTCGCTAACGAAACCGATACAAGTGTAAACGTAGCCTAAGAGCGATGGTCCTTCGGATGGATGATGTCTTTAGTATATATCGAGCTAGTGTCTAATTTCAAATCTTCATTTTAGAGTGGTGTTTGGTCCAGAGCTGGTCATGTTAGGTCCTGACGAGCAGTTTACTCAGCTTAGTTTGTCAGGCGGCAAGCCAAAACGTCCCAATGTTATCAAAGCATTGTGTCTTCTCCTCGGTCCTGATTTTTGTACGGATATCATTACTGTCGAAACTGCTGATCATGCAAGACTGTCATTGCAGTTGGCTTACAATTGGTAAGGTACAGTGTATGGTGTAGTATGGTGTTGCTCACACTAGTTAATAGAAATTTGGAAACTCATGACATTAGAATAACAATATAACTCGTTATCTATGTCAGTCAACGTTTATTCATAAATATGGTCCTTCACCGTCACGTGCGTATTGTATTTTTGCCTAACTAACCAATACAAATGTCCTAACTAACCAATACAACTGTCCCAGTTTCAAGTGAGCTTAATGGCGACCCTTGTATGATTTCAGGCATTTCGATGTGAGGGACAAAAGTGAAAAAGAATCGGAGAAATTGTTCTCTGTTCCTGATTTCGTGGGTGATGCTTGCAAAGCCATTGCTTCGAGAATTCGAGGGGCTGTAGCTGGAGTGCAATTTGATGATTTTCACAAGGTAGGAAGGGTTATACTACACACAGGTCACCTGTTATTTTGTTATTCTGATAACTTGTTATTCACATTTTCTCACAGAATTCGGCGAAGATCATTCGAACTTCAGTATTTGGTCTCGACGAGAATCATAAGATTCGCAACAGTTTTTCCTTCCCTGCCAACAATTTGAACATCACAAGCGTAGATATCCAATCAGTTGAGCCAGTGGATCAAAGAACGAGAGATGCACTCATGAAGTCGGTACAACTTGCCATCGAAATCACCACCAATTCGCAGGAGGCTACTGCAAGGTTGGTTTTATACAATAAGCTGCCGGACGTGTAGTTGAACTCTACCATACAACCTAAGTTTTCTCCGAGGTCTCCAGTTTTCGTCTGGACCAATAAGTGCCTACTCCTGTGCTGTACTTTTAGGAAGAACAATTTATAACTGATAGAGCTATCCAGTGTAGAAAAACCTGTTTAGTTCGGGTTTCTTTGAGCATTGGAACAATACTGTGATGGCCACGAAATAGGCCCTTTCAAGGTTAAGGACGCCATCTTGAATCTATTGTTTTCACCATTGTGTTTGCATCCCCTGCAAATTTACCTATAGGGAATTTCATTGTGTTTGAACCATAGAAAGGTTTGCACCCCTTGCATTTCATTATGGCGTCGTTAACCTTGAAAGGGCCTATTGAACTTTCATCTTAAGCGCGAGGGCTCCAATTAAAAGAGATTAAAAACATTTTCAAGATTAAAGAAACTTCCACTGACTCTAACTATAGCTGACTACTGGCATATGCCTGTATTTTTGTTTGATAACGTACGGAATATTTTCAGCTAATAGCTGACAAACAATCAAACGGCAAGTTTGAAATTACCTTGAATTCCAGCGGACAAATTACATCCAAAGGTACCATTAAAATCCTAAGGCTTTATTTTGCCAATTTCGGTGCATTTTTCATCAGTTATTTTATTTCCCAGACACGAAGCCGAACGCATCGAACAAGAAGCTCGCGGAAGATTGGAAAGACAGAAAATCAACGACGAAGCCGAAGCAGAGAAGTCCAGGCGAGATTTACTCGAGCTGCAAGCACAGAGCGCTGCAGTGGAGTCTACTGGCCAGGCCAAGGCTGAAGCACAGTCCAGAGCTGAGTCCGCTAGGATTGCTGGCGAGGCTGATGTCAGTCAGGCCAAGTTGAAAGCAGAGGCCACACGTATTCAAGCTGTAAGTGAGAGGAGTTCGTATTTACTGGTCATATAATTATCGAGTTTCTCACTCATTGATGAGCGGATTTCCCAACAGGCTATTGCCCAATTGATAGGGGATCCGAGGTACCTACGATTTTAACGTCCTTATATGAAAAGACGCGAAAGTCTAACCTTTTACTGATGTCAATGTAAAGGTAGCACTTTCTTCTCTCAATGGACCATTCCCCAATTAACCAAAATTTTGATCTCAACAAGTCTAGACAAAATTCCATCATAGCATGAAAGAGCATCACAAAATTAGTAATATTCCAAAGTTTCGTTGCGAAATGTTGTAAAATGCGGATAACATAGCCTTGCGAAATTTGCAATTTTCAGTCATTTTAGATTACAAACGGAAAATGGTTACCACTTTTCCAAAATTTTGATCTTAACTAGCCTAAACAAAAATTTCATCACAGCTTGAAAGAGCATCACAAAATTAGGTAATTTTCAGTCATTTTGTATTACGCACAGAAGTGGTAACCATTTCCCGTTTGTAATTTAAATGACTGAAAATTGCAAACTTTGCAAGGCTATATTATCCGCATTTTACAACATTTTGCAACAAAACTTTGGAATATTACTAATTTTGTGATGCTCTTTCAAGCTGTGATGAAATTTTTGTCCAGACTTGTTGAGTTCAAAATTTTGGTTAATTGGGGAATGGTTTATTATTGACCTTGAGTAGAGGTCCGAGCAAGGATTGAACCCGGGTCTCGCAGCTTGAAAGGCAAGCGTGGTGATCACGACACCACAAGAGCTGGGGAATATTGCTGTCTTTATACCAGTGGATTAAGTCTGCTAAATAGTTGAGGGTGTACAAATGCGGTTTGAAAACACTTTTAAATAGAGTTGTAGTTGGATCAGGGGCGTGGCTAACGATTCCAGATTGGGGGGGGGGCGTCATACCATAATGACCAACTTTTTCAATGAAAATGACCAACGTTTTCGTGTTTAAAAAAGTTTTTCTCGAAATTTTTTTTTGGCG